CCCCAAAACCCCAAAACCCCAAAACCCCAAAACCCCAGTTAAAAATTATGGGTTGGTTATTTTACATCGATTGGAGATAACCTTCTCTGCTAATCTTGGAGGTATCATCTGATTCTTCTAACACCACACCTTTATCAGCGAGTTCTAGCTTCACTCTGTTGAAGTAGGTGCTATCTGGATATCCAAAGGATGAAGACCCTCCTGAAAGACTAGTTTTATGGTGTACTGAGTTCCATACTACTACATTTTTCCTTCCTGTTGTGACAGAATCTCCCACAATGAAAGTCAGTTTTCTATTGAACGATTTTATGAGTAAGAGCATGACCTCTCTACCTTCTCAAGTATCAGGAAGGAATGCTTGTCTTGAAGTACCGCTGTATCGGACTCCATCCTTCTTCCTTCCGCTTGGAAATGAATAACTTATATGCCAAGTTCCGCTACATTCATAGCCAGCTCATGAGTTGTAGCCAGCATCATAATATTGCCAGCTCATAACGCCAGGGGGCATTTCTCCCATCAAAACCCCATAAATATTCGAACAAATAGGGCACTTAAGGTGATTTTTCTCACCCATCATCATTTCTGCACAATCTTTATGGAAATAATGGTCTGAGCAATTTCCGAATTTGATTACTGAAATCTCGGTGGGATCCTTCAGCATTTCAGCTTGTTGTACACATATCTCTTCCTTTTTCATAGTCATGATGTCATCGTACAACTCACAACGGCAAATAGGGCATATTTCTTCTTCATCGATCTGCTTGTGGTGCTTTTGTTCCTGCTCAAGAATCAGATAAAGTTCATAGACAGTAATCTCAATCCATTTAGTTAATTCAGCACATCTCGAGGTATGCTTAGTGAATGATTTTGGCTTTCCTATCATAGATTTGGAGAAGCCAAGAGCTTTTAGATCAGCAGAAACTTCCTTAGTCTCTTCTTCAGTCTCTATTTGGAGATCCTCTAAAAGAGAAATTAAGTATGACTGTTTGGAAATTACTTTTAGGCGCCAGTCCATGCATAGAAGATGATCTGAAACCCCTATGGGCCCAGGATGTATTTCTTTTGTAAAACTTGATTTTATGAGTGAGAAACTCACTAGGGTATTTTCTACCTAATTTCCGAAGAAACGTATCCCGATTTGACTTAATTTTTCTGATAAGTTTATGATCTTTAGTACTGTTTAGTTTTAAGCCACTTTCGTCTTTTTTAACCGGCTGGTTAACTTTAGTCTTATTTTCAAAGAATTCAGGATATTTTGTATACTTTTTAAGAGCTAACTGAGTTAAAGAAGGGATGAAATACCTGAAATTTTTCCTGGAGTCTTTTCCATACTAAATATTATCAATTTCGTCTAAAAATTAAGGGGTTTTGGGGTTTTGGGGTTTTGGGGTTTTGGGG